AGCATCTTTTGTGGTCTTGAGATCAGGGATTTAGGTACTTAAATGAAGAATTTTTGTGTAAGGAGAACCTTTGAACCTTCATCTAGCATATGCCATTGATTCCAGATGTTGTCTCTTGGGTTGCAATAGATTTTAAGTGTCAAAAACTATCTTTCATGGTGTTTTGCACCACTTAAGGCTTTGGGTATATCAAGTTCTGTACTCTATGGCTAATTGATTTGGGTTGCTCATCTTCAAATACAATTTTATTAGGGTAGAAGACCCTTAGACCTTTATCTATAAATTCTTATACCCCACAGATGATGCTTCCTGATTTTCCATAGATGTTTCAGAGATGGAAAACTATCTTTTATAGTGGTTTTGGGCTATAAAAATATTCGCTTTAGAGTATAGATCTTATAATTGATTCAGAGATTGCTTTGTTTAATCTCCATTGCAATTATTTGCCATACAAATTCCAAAATTTCGCAGAACAAACCCCTAGGACCTACCTACAAGCACTTTCCTCCAACCCTCCTCTTCCATATGTTTTCTCTTACATTTCCATAGATTTTTCCTTTAAATATCCGTACATTTTTAAAAAGAAAACCAGATGAAAATCCAACATTGAAAGGAAATAAATCATGTCATCATTTTCGAAGCAAAAAGGGCAGACGAAATCTTTCATCATTTTGCGTTTGAAAAATAAAAAATGACCAAATGCCAAATAAAATAAATAAAATATTGAAATGAACAACAGATAAAAGGGGAGAGAAGCGTCCAGTTTAGACAGGCGCTGCTTGCCCCAAAAGGGAGGTCATACATTAATATTGTATATGTATCTGTAGTATCTGTGTATCTGTATCTGTTTGGATATTTTCTCATTACATTTATGGTATGCTACTGTGCCCCCCACCCACAAGGCAGACAACCGTTTGTTTGCTATAATATCTATTTGTTTTGCTTTTTATTTGTTGTTTTTTATTGTTGTTTTGTTTTTGTTTCGCTGCCTGCCATTTAGGCGTAAAAAACCTAAAAAAAAAAAACAGCAGCTCCAGCAGCCACATGCCACGGGCACAAATTTGCATCTTTCTCGATTTAGCCAAATGACGCAAGTAGCTCAAAAAAAATAAAACAAAAAACTATAAAAAAACCTACGAAAAAGTGGAATATATCCTACATATGGCGAGGTTATGCACAGAGCCACCAGACACTAGCCACCAGCATCGGACGATTATAAAATGCTTTATGTTTTTATATGGCAATTTTTTAGATTTCTTTTCCGTTTGGATCATTAGACAAATTAGGTTTTTTTTTTTGTTAGCTCTCGCAGCTAAATACTTGAGGGGTTTCTCCCCACTCGAAGGGGAAAGTGAAGTCAGTTTTTGCCTTGTTAAATATTATTCTAATTTCACTTTTTTCCCAATGAATGAGCAAAACAAAAGCTAAGAGTCTTAGTTTGTGGCGGAAAATCCGCTTAAATGCAGCAAATGTTCACACCCAAAGCGAGCATTGACCCAAAACTCAGACTCGCAGATACATACATTTTATGCTGAACGATACAAACAAAAGAAAGGAAAAGGGAAGCGATGCGAATGGGAATGGTAATCGGAAAAACTGTCGCAAAAGCACACAGAGAGCACAGCTTGCGTTTAATTGCATTTTGTTGAAGGAAAGTAAAAGTCACTTATGGGACAAACTCAAATCCCTCCACTCCGCCGCCTCACAGACAAATGTCTGGATGTGTGTCTGGGATTTTCACTGTATTATCTTTCCCTTTTGGAGGATGTGAGGGAGAACTGCGTAGGGGTCTTTGTTTATGTGTCTGATTTTCTAATTGGTTTTCCCACTGTGTGTTGTCTCCGCCGCCAATCCCTGGATGTGTTGCCAGACAAAAGGGTTAAAAAGAGCAGAAGTTTGTTTCAATTGTTTCCGTCTGTAAAAAGTGTGTGTAAAGTGTAGATTAAATTGTCAAGATAAATGTCGAAAGACACGCCTCTCTTTTTGTGGCGGCGGCTACTGTGTGGAGTAGTTTTCCTGTTTGGTGGGGAAAAACTTTACGAGTTTTCGGCTTAAATTTCACATTAGTTTCAAAGCGCATTTCCTGCCCACACCAACGCAGACACAGATACAGATACAGACACAGATACACTGTCTACAGGTAGCAATCACAGCTTTGATGGGGTCTTGGGTCTGGCCACCACTTGAGGTAGCTATCTTGGTATCTGTGGGATCTGTTTTTGTATCTTTATAGCCAGCCGCCTCTTGTGTGCCTCTGTCTGTGTGTGTGTGTGTCGGCTTCATTCAGTTTGATTGATAGATTGTTTACAAATTTAATTTCATTTTACTTGTTTTTCCTTCCTTCTTTAAGTTCTCTTTTTCTCCATCTTCTCCTCTCTTCTCTTCTCTTCTTTGTGGCATTCACCTGTGTGTTCTTCTTGCCACTCTGCCAGTGTCACTACCTATCCCTAGACATCGTCTTCTGTTTGTCTTTTTGCCTCTCAATGTTTTCCAACTTGGTCAACGACGCCCGGCAGGGCCTGTGCCTGTGCCTGGGACTGGGACTGGCCGCGCCTTTTATGTGGTCGCCGCCTCATTACACAGATACCCTGTGGGCAGAGGATATAATGAGAGGGTATTGTGATTTCAAGAGATTTGAAATTTGAGAGCAGATAGAAATATCTGTGAAGCCATGAAGAATATTTCAATTCCGTTTCTGTTGCAAAAAGAGGCGTATAATAAGCGATCTATTTCCATCGTTCCTATTTTGGGTTGTGCCTTTGGTTGTTCCACCTTTTCCATCGTTCCTTTCTTGCTTCTTCCAGGGTATCAAATGCTTTCTTCCTCCGTTGGCTAACCTTCCTCTCAGTAGCTTTTGTTTGCCTTCTTTTCTGGCCCTCTATTTGGCTATTTGATATATAAGGAATGTGTTTTCTATATGCACAAACCAAACAGTGAGAGAGAGAGAGAGAGAGGAACAAGAGAAAGAACCAAAGAAGGAAAGGGAAGAGACAGAGAGGAGACCCAAAGTTGGATGATGGCGAGCGAGAATCACATTAAATGCAATGCCATTTGAATGCCTCTCTGGCACTCTCGCACTTGTTAAATCCAATCACGTACTGCCGCACCGTGCTCCCTTCCTCCCTACCTACCTACCTACCTCCCTCCCTCCATCCCTCCGCTGTACGACGCCAAAAAGGATGCCCAAAACTCTTTCAAAAGACTTCATTTCGAACTTGACTAATGCGTGGGCGTGGCCACACAGCCCCAAAGGAAGAGCTGGCTAAGCTGGACGTGAGGGGGGACCTTGTCATTTGACTAGTGGGTGGGACTTATGCCACGTTTACAGGTTGGCAAAAAATACCCAAAGGAATTTCACATTTGATTAAAGTAAATATTTTTGTAGGAATTCAAGATAATATTTGTATTTAAAATCAAAAGGGAATTCCTGATTCATTTTGGAAAGCGGATGGAATCCTAATTAATATTGAAACGCACCATTTGGGCGGTCTGGAAATTGCCTTTTTCTTTTGAGGGTTTCCATTTATTTTATTTTATTTTGGGTCTTGTATTTTCTTTATTTTTCCAAAGGGAAACATCTTTTTAAATTGCCAGCAGCAACTTCTGACCTTATTTGCTGACAAATTGCATTACGTTTGATGTAAATTGACACAAATTTCCTTGGGCATTTCCTAAAAACAATCGATGGTCGCATTTTAGAGTATTTTTTATTTTTTGTGTACAGTTGGAGCCATTTTTGTTCCGTTTCTTGCTTGGTTCCTGTTGCTCTCACTGCTTATTCATTGTTACCTTTTTTTTTGTCCTTTCTGTTTCTGTCTTTCCATTTCCATAGTTCCTTTCTGCTGCTGTCTCTTCCTTTTCATTGTTCCTTTCTTTATATTTTGTTGTTGTTTATTTTTTCACTCCATTTCCACAGTTCCTATTTTGACTGCTGCTGCTGGTCCTGTTGCTCCTCTTCAATTGTGCCTTTCCCATCGTTTCTTTGGCAATCCTTTTGCCGAATTTTCTTGGGGAATCTTTTCTCTGCCGATTGACTTTCATATTTCCACCCCCCAAACAGATTAGTCAACAAATTCCCTGTGAAAAAAAAATGTCATAAATCGTCCCCCGAGGATTCTTTCGTCGTTTCGCTTAACTTTTGCATATTCGCTTGAGTGATTCTCTGCTCTGCTCTGCTCTGGTGTTTGCAGTCCCAATTAGAGAGTTTTTGTCGCCTGTTCGGGGGGGCGGCTCTACGAAGAAACAATTCCACAAGCTTTATCGTTCCGACTTCCTCTTCCTGTGTGCAAATGCACAAAGCAAACATTAGACGAGCGACGAGCGACGACGACACAGGGCAAAAGAAGCAACGAACTGAAATCTCAATAAATCACAAGACAAAGGAATGAACGCAGGACACCAGCTGGAGCAGCATGAGCAGCAGGAGGCAGGAGGTGGGTGAGGGTTTGTGGTGTGTGTGCTGATTCAATGCCCTAAGCCGCAGAGTCGACAAATCACACAAACACACACACGAAGGCACACGAAGGCACACGAAGACACACGGAAGTGGTGTCCTTGCCACAGCAGCAGCAGCGACAGCAACAGCAAAGTGTCCCGTCTGCCTGTGCTGGGATTAGTCTAAGGAACGAACGCCATCACCTTGTTAACCTGCCAGCCATTAGCGTAATTCGTTTTGTGTCGCCGTCTCGGCTGGAAACCCCCAAAAAAAATATTCCCCCCAGACGAAATTTAATTTTTGAGGTTCTAGAGCACTTTCCTGTATAGGGCTTCTTTCACACCGCAGCAGACACTTGATAATTAGTTAATTAATTTATGGGTCGCGTGGAGGGAGGGGAGGGGAGGGATACATTTCTCCAAAAAAAAAAAAGGAGAAGACTCCGCCTGCCGTGTCGCCGCTTTGTACTTGTAAATTGCCTGCAGCGAGGTGCCACAGAGGTTGCCCCCGAATCCTCAGAGACTAAGAAATATACAATTTTCAGTGCACCATCATCAGCCATCAGCCATCAGCCATGATGAAGGGTTCCACCTGATAGTGTGATCCAATCCAGAAGGAACCCGTTCTGCCACACGGAAGCCACGCGATGGCCTCCCTGCAGCAGAAGCGCCCCAGCATCAGCAACTGGTTCTCCTCGCTGCGGCGCCAACCAAAGGCCAAGAAGGGCACCACCAACCTGGGCAGCAGTGGCAGCTTTGGCAGCAAACAGCAGCTGCAGCTGCAGCGGAGCTGCTTCGATCTCTCCGCGACAGTCGTTGGGGGAGGGGGAGGCGGCGGCGGCGGCGGCATACCAGGATTCAATGTCGAAGGAGTGGGATTCAGTGTCGATCGGAATAGCCGCAGCAGCAGCACCTTCTACATCAATCCGCTGAAGGCCTCCAAGGAGGATCGACGACGTCTGGTGGAGACTGGCAGCAGCAGTGGCGGCAGCAGCAGTCGCAGCAGCAGCGTCTGTGTGCGCTGCTTCTGCAATCTGCTCTCCAAGAGCGAGGAGAAGACGCCCACGCCCACACCACTGCCACCCACGCCGCCACCGAAGCCACCGAAGCCACCAGCCAAGCCGCGCTCCCCCTCGCTGGCGCCCTTCACCAGTGTGGCGACGTACAACATCACGACCTTGACGCCCGACAGCCCCCCACCGGCCAGTCCGACGCTGAGCAGCGAGACGGTCAGCTGCAACGATGTCAGCCGCAAGGTGGAGCTGAAGCGGCTGCCCTGCGACGAGCCGCACACGGAGCTGTACAGCAAGCGATCGGAGTACACGAACACCACCACCACGACGACCACCAGGACGCTGATAGTGTCCCGACCCGTGGAACTGCTGCTCAACGACAAGGGGGAGATCATCTCGCGCAGATCGCCGCGCAAGACGCGCTCCAATTCGCTGGGATGCATGCTGGACGTGGAGGATCTGTCGGAGACGAACAATGGCGGCGGGGGAGGCATGGATAATCCCTGCCTGGAGCTCGATACGGAACTGCCGAGCTCCGTTCTGAGCTCTCCGCTGACACCCGATGCGGGCGATATGCGCTTCATCGATGACAGCTCCAATTCGCAGAGCGAATCCGAAAGGAATTCCGTCAGCCATCCCCACCACAACAACAACAACAACAACTCCAAGGAGCAGCAGAATAATAACAATAATTGCAGCACCAGAAGCAGCCAGGAGACGAATCTCTGCGAGAGTTGTCGCCATTTGATCGAGAGAAACCTCAGCAATGCGGAGAAGCAGATCAACAGCGATGTGGTGATACTCAGGCAACATCCGAAGGTAGGACAAGAGGGAGGAGAAAAGAGCAGAGTAGAGGAGGGGAAAAAGGATTCCATTCTGAGAGAATGGCATGAATAATCACGGCAGAGTTTCCTTCCACCTTGGATATTTCCCAGATCCCCTTTGATGAAAAGTTCCCCACCAAAAATGACTTCTGCTTAAAAAATATTGAATGGGGTTTTGTTCGCTTGTTTTTGTTTTGTGATTTTATTTATAACAAAAACGAATCTCAAATTGGATTCCCCCCTTTGGCTTTCTGTTGAAAGAATTTGCATTGTGGTGTCGCGTAAGAACAGGTTCTGCGGCCGCTGCCGCTGTGGGACTTCCTCGTGGCATGTTCTCACACTTCCACTCTCCATTCTCAGGCCCGTCGACAGAACTCTCCTGCCTGTTACCTGTCTTAAAGAGACTCGCATTAAGCGCCCGGCCCGCCCGATTCGAGTTTATTTTTAAGTTTGACGCTCATTAGCTTTGTCTCTCCGCCACCACCGACTGCCGTGCTTGCTCCTCTGGCTGCGTGTTGGTTTTGATATCACTAGACACTGGACGCTGGACACTGCCCTGACCACTGGTTGGTCTTTAATCAATGCTGGCGTTTAAGCAACGCGCCGCTGAATGTGGCCGCTCTCTGACATGCCGCAAAACTTGTTGCTACGATTGTCTGCGCACTCATAGACCCCTTTGTCAGAGGGAGCTCCCTCCACTCCCTCCATTCCCAGTCTCACAACCTGTGCTTCCCCCTCTATATTTTCCTTTGTTTTATGTTGATTTTTCTTCTCTTTTTGTGTTCATTTCCATTGATTTTTATGGGGCGTATCGTGGTAGCCCTTGCAGCAGGGTATGGGTTGATAGAGTTGTAAAGCTCCTCTGATCATTTTATTGATTGGAAAATTAAAAAAAAAAAAAATTAACATAATTCTGTTTTGGGGGAAATCTATTCCAAAAAAAGATAGTGAGGGAAACGATTAATGATAGGAACCCATAGTTTAATGGGCATTTAAGGGGCAAACGGATGTGGTGTGTGGCATGTAAATAATCAACATAAAAATATAAAAAAAAAGAGTTGCAAGCCTGGGAAAATGTTTGCGGGCAGTCATAAAATATTATGAAAATATTGAGACATAAAATCGTCGAGCCATAAATCATATAAAAGATAGATACACTCGTATATTTAGCTATAAAAAAGATACATGATATTTTTTGGTCAGATGTTTGTTCTATGACAGCAGCCGTAGCAGCAGCAGCAGCCACTCCGATGATCATCATTCGTTATAAATAAACATCTTACGGTGGTGGAGCTTTATTTAAACTTCTCCTCACTTCTATTTGCTTATGCGACACGCTCTGGGAATTAAAATTCCTCGAAATCATTGACGGAGAGTCAATGAATTCTAAATCTAAAACCTTGCAGCACACCGTTTGTATCTAGATACGTTTGACAAGTCACTGCTACCCTCGGGTAGGGGGGAGCAGTTACATTTTCTTGAGCACACAAATCCGCATTCAATGTGGAGAACTTCAATCGAATGGAATGCCCCAAACGAACAAACGAACGAACGAATCGAATGATCTCATCTTTTGAATCTCAACTGCAATTGTTCATTTGTTCATCTATCTGTTGTAGCTGTACGTTTAGCTATCTATCTGTATCTACATATCGTATGTGTATCTTTTATTACAGCCCATGGACAGCAATTTGTCAATTGTATATTTTATAGTGTTTAATTGACATTCCACTGTGCGCCTCCGTTCCGAGTCTCGACCGTCTCCCTTTTTGCATACGAACGACTCATCCGATGAGTCAGAAGGTCATTCACGGGGTGGCGTAGAGGCGGGAGGCGGGAGGCGGGCGGCCTATGTGTCTCTGGGGGCAATTGATATGTTCCGGTCTCGTGGCTCTCCCCATCATTCATGCGTCAAACTCACAGATACAAGATACATATTCGTACTTTCCGCTTCTTTGGACATTGCGCGACATTTCGATATTTTCTTTCGCTTTGGAATGGATTGGGAATTGGAACTGGAATTGGAACTGGAATTGGAATGGCATGGAATGACCCTTGCGATGGCACTGCCATGCCGCGATATCTCCTATTGGGTTCGCAGTGTCAGTCAGTTAGTTTTTATTCTTCTCGTTTTTTTTTTTTTTTCTAATTCAATTAAATCAAAATTTGCATTAAATTGGGTTTGTTTTTTTTCGTTCTTTCAATGTGCGCTCCATTTAGAACAAATTTGAAAACAGTTTTCAAGTGAGTTTTTTGTCGTCCGTCCGTGGGTTGTTTATTTGGCGCCAGTCGACAGGCGACACGGGCAGCAGGCAGCAGGCAACGGGCAAATGGCAAATGGCACTGAGGAAATGCAAATTACTCGACTTTCAACTGTCTCTCTATGTGCGCTACGAAGTGTCTCTTCCTCTGTATCTGTATCTGTATCTGCTGTATCTGCGAGTGTGTGTGGAATTTATGGGCTTTTTTTTTGAAGGCAGTCTGCTGTACGCAATTTAAATTTAAACAGCAGCCTAGTCGCTCGCTCGCTTGCTTGCTTGCCCGTTCTGTTCTGTTAACTGTGGATTCTAGAGTGTATCCAGATACATGTGCATCTACATATGTGTGTGTGTGTGTGTGTGCGCTTGTGGCTTGCTGTTTCCTCAATCTATATTTATTTATATGTTGATGATATCATAAATACCATTTTTGCACCTTATTAATTATATTCTCTCCCCCCTCTCTCTCGTTTACAGCAAATCAAAGATGAATTGTGCGAAGTTGTCTCGGAAATGGAGGCGCTCGATGTGCCCGAAGACTGCAAGCATTCCAACAAGGACAAACAAATGTCCATTGGTCGCAAAAAGTTCAATATGGATCCGAAGAAAGGTGAGTCTGGAAGCTGGCATGGTAAAAGATCTATACCCAGAGTATTTTGCACCAAGAAAAATATGGAGATATATTCGAAGCACTCCTGAGAACTGTTTAAGCAGAATGTTACCATTCAATTCATCATTTATTTCCAAGAGATAAATGATTATGCTGTGTGGATGCTCTGCAAATCCCAGTAATTTGCCTGAAACTTTGAGTGCATTTTCCTCGCTGGTTCCAGCCCCCCCAATGATTCACTCCGAATCGAATATGCAAATGCAATATTTGTTCAATTCAAGAGGGTTTCCCACCCTCCTCTACAATCATGGGGATCCCTGACAATTACTATGCATGGAGAGGGAAAGGGAGTGTCCCTCAAAAGTCGAGAAATGTAAACTTTGCTGATGATTTAAATGAAATCTCAATGACGACGACATGACACCAGACGACGACGACAACGACAACACGACAATGATGAAGTCAGATGAAATGCTTTATAATTGAGCTGATGAGTGAAGAGTAAAGAGAAGAGACATCGCTCTGCCATTGCAGATGTGGTGGAGATTGTGGTGCGGGTGCGGGTGCGGGTGCGCTGGTGACTCCATGAGAGAGCGTGTCTCGGCGCCAAAAGGCAAAATTACCATGCAAATTTCCACGCAAATGAAGAGAGGAGTGAGACGAGGAGCGGTGTGGGGTGGGGGTGGGGGAGTGTCACGTACGTCCAATAATAATTTCGACGTTAATTTAATAACGTAATGAGCCCGAAACGAAATGAAAATGCAGCACCAGCAACAGCACCAGTAACAGCAACAGAATGCAGCAGGCAGGCAGAGGCAGTCGGGTAGGAGCAAGGGAGATGCGGGTGTCAGTGGCTGGGGCTGGGTGGTGAGGGTGCAGAGCAGGGCGTTCCACTATCTTAAAAGTCTGACAAATTTGACAGTTCGTTGACATCTGAAGTACGTGTACGCGTACGCTTATGGCTTATGGCTTGTGTCGCTGTCCCTCCTCCAGTGTTTAATTTAATGGAAATGAAAATGAAAATGGAAATGTCAATGCCGCAATATCCAATAGCAAGAACTTGTCTCAGGGGAGGACCCCGACCCGACCCTCACACAAAGAAGAAGCAAAAGGGAAAGAAAGGGAAAGGCAGGGAGTACATTAGGGTGGAATGGAGAACACATCGTGATGTACGATGTATGATGTACGGTGTATGATGTATGGGTTAGTTGAAAGATGAAGGCTAAACACATTTATGGCAGGGTGAAGGGAGGTGTTAGCTGCTCATTAGAACAAGAAAGGGGGCTGGAAGATCTAATGCCAGCTAAATGGGAAATGTAATTATGTGTGACGTGTGACTGGGGTTTTGGTTTTCGGAGCAAGTGAAGACTGGAGATGGCACTTCGGCACTCCAGAAAGGTGTACGATCTCATGTCGAATGGGGGAGAGATGTATCCCATTTGGGTATACAAATATTGTAGATTGAACTTTGATCTCTGGAAAGGCAGAGTATTTATTTTAATTATATTTTTTATTTATTTTTTATATATTTATATAATTTATATATTAATATTTATTATATTTCCATTTATTTATATTAAATGAAGATTTTCCCACTTCGAAATTTAGGGACTCAAAAGTGGAACTTTTTCCTTTCCGAAGGGTAATGAAAAATGTATCGGAATTTTGAGATAAAAGAACTCTTCAGGGAAGGTCCCTCCGACCACTTTTTAGGGAATTTCCCAACTCCAGAGCACATGCCACGTCCCACCTTCAATTTTGATAACACTTTTCAATGTTTTTTATGTTTCTGAGGGTGAGGGGTGGTGACCCACATGTCAGCACATGTTTGCTTATGGAACACGTCTCCAAACAGCTCAATTTCTTTGCCCTTCCCGTACGCCACATCCTCCCCCCATAGCTCCCTGTGGCATACACATTTTTAAAAGCCAATCAAATATTTACGTCAACCTCTCTTGGCCATAAATTAACGTCGACAAGTCAAAATTAGGCCATGCAACATCTTCCCGCAGCACAAACACACAGACACACACGCAGCAGCAGCAGTGGAAAGGGGAGGAGCAGAGAGTAGGCATATCCTGTCCGGAATGCCAGATATCTAGATGCGAGTATATGTGTGTAAATATATGTGGCAGAGGGAGCACAATAAAAATGCTAATCCAAAGAGGGACAACTGATGGGTGGCGGAGGAGGAGGAGTCTATGGAGGAGTCAGCGACCCAATAACAAAAGCAGAAGCAGAAGCAAAAGCTAAATCGAATCCCAACCAGAGACGAGACATTTTGTCGTCGCTTATTAAAAAACTTCCACACGAGAATGTGGCTGGCGGCTGGCTACCACTGCCAACCAGGAGGCAGAACGCAGAACGCAGGGTGGCAGCTCTGAGTGGGTGGGTATTGGGTTGGATCGGTAGGTAGTTGGGTGACAGGAGTGGTGTCATCGTCATTTGTCGCTTTATCGGCCGATTATCAGCAATATACGGAAATACACGCACATATAGATACGCCATATAGATAGGCGCACACACAAAGGAAAGAGGGGGGCATACACACACACGGAGACAAACACACAGACACTTAAATTAATAGCACACAAATGTGCCATCCATAACGCACAAACGATGTCAGGGAATGGTGAATGGGGGGGGGCGAGAGAGAAGTTCATGGGGAGTACGAACCCAGAGCAGGGACTTCAACCAGGAATATGCCATAGAAAGGTGGAGAGACCATGCATGAGAGCTCGGGCATTATTTTCCATGCAAGAGCGAATCTAAGCATGGATTGGATGCCACAAAGAGAGCGAGCAGACAGCGAAAGAGAGTGGCAAAGTATCCCCCCGTTCCTGGTTCTACTACCCACATCTACCTTGCTTCCTGGTGGTGGGGGGGTGGGGGCGCCGTTAATCGCGCGTGATGCCTCCTCAAGTCACGCAAAACTTTTTGTTTACCAAAAAAGTCGAATCCTTGTGGTGGCCACAGGAGCAGCGGTTCCACTCTGCCCGCAGGGCCCCAAGCAGCCATTACGCCCCACCCCCTTTTGCCATTTGCAGATTTCTCATTATCGATGGCATTTGTGTGTGTGTTTGTGTGTGTGTGTGATTATTGTTGTCCTTGGCAGTTGTCATCGTCAATGTCATCATCGCAGAGCAGATTTCAATCTGCAAATCCAATTTCTACAATGCACGGCCCCCATGGCTGGCGCCACCTGGCGTCTGGAAGCCACAAAGCCAAAGCCATTGTTATTATTATTTATACCATAAGAATGTGGGTTTGGATAATCAAGGGGTATATTGTATTTATTTGTATTTATGTGACAGACAGAAAACAGCCTCAAGGAATGTTTATAGATTGATCCGAACCAGCAGCTGATTATTCCCATTAAAGGAGGGTATCTTCTAGTCGTAATACATATAATCTCAGATGGAATATCTTTTGTTTTGTTTACATTTAATAATTCCATTGAGACTCCATGGAAGAGACTCGCGTTCTCCGATAGCGTTGCTTCCGCCTCCGCTGCGCCGCGCTCTCTTTGATTGGCAAATAATGACATCGTTACCAGCCAGCCAGCCAACCGACCCACCGATCGAACGAGCGAGTACTATGGGGCGCTCCTTCTCTGCTCTCTTTTCTCCCCGTTCAATGTTTATGGGGATTGCGCTGTGGTTTATGTTGCGGTTCGCTGGCTCTCCAATGGGCCACAAATAGTCGTATATGGGGGTACATTATATGATTTGATTTGATTCTTGCTGCGTTCTTCGGCTTCCGGGTTGCTGGCGTGGGGCGGCGTTCTTATCGCTTAGCAGGAATACAGTGGAAACTTCTGTGGGGGGAAACCCTATTTGAGTTCCATACACTTTCTTGTCGCACTAGGAAAAATAAATAAGTAAATAAATAAATAAAAATAAAAAATAAATATATCTCATATGCTATTTTTTTGTTTCCTTCCTTCCATTTGCAGGCATTGAGTATCTCGTGGAGAACCGACTGCTGCGTCACGATCCCCAGGATGTGGCGCATTTCCTCTACAAGGGCGAGGGCCTCAATAAAACGGCCATAGGTGAGCGTGCGGGCGGAAAACCCCCAAACCAAAAGTCATAAATTCCAACTCCACCCCAGTGGGAGTTTTCTTTTAATGGCGAACACACACACAAAATTCAATTAAACGCATAACCAAACATTTATTTTAACTGCCTTTTCTTTGGTGCGTTTTCCTTTCCAGGCGATTACCTCGGCGAAAAGAACGATTTCAACGAGGATGTCCTCAAGGCCTTCGTGGCGCTACACGACTTTACCAATCTCATTCTAGTGCAAGCCCTAAGGTAGGTCCACCCTCTTATAATTACCAGCACTATCGCTAATGGCAAATTATTCTCTTCTCTCTTTTGAACAGACAATTTCTCTGGTCGTTTCGATTGCCCGGCGAGGCGCAGAAGATCGATCGAATGATGGAGTGCTTTGCACAGCGCTACTGCCAGCTAAATCTGGACATATTCACCAACACGGACACATGCTATGTGCTCAGTTTTGCCATTATAATGCTCAATACATCGCTGCACAATCCATCGGTGGGTACTACACAGTGGGTCGCAAGAAAAGTCGCCCAAAAAGTGGGACTAGGAAGTGGATTGGATAGATGCTAGCCTTAATGAACAGAACACACAAGAATTCCGTTTAAATTCCTCTCAAACAAGTCACTCATTAATGGCTATTATGTGTTATAATCACCCAAAAATAACCCTAGATCTGTTCTGTTCTGTTCCGTTCAATTTGTTTTTGGCCCTCTCCCCACTGTTCGTTCGTTCGGTTTGGTTGGGTTGGGTTGGGTTGCCTGCTCCCAACCGGATGTTCGTACTGTTGGCAGCAGTCAGGAAGTTGTTGCTTCTGCCAAAAAACCGAAAAGAAATCCGAGAAAAAGAAAAGCGAAAGAGAAATTCCTCAACAGAATCAAACTCGACGCGTGGCGGGGGCCATGGGCTGGCTGCCCTTCAACTGCGAAATTGAATTCCTATTTGCCGGCTGTCAGGCCACAATTATCGACGACGATGCGACGACGCAGCGATTCACTTCCGCATGCTGCGTGAGTGACAGGTCGTGCGTCCGACCCGTCCCGTTCTGTGTCGTGCGATCGTTAAAGCAATTACATACACCACTCGCATGGTCTGCCGCACTGCCGCATGGGCCGCCACTAATAGGTCAAGTGTAGAGGAGGAATCCACACACACACACACACAGACACAGTTCGTGTGGCATATTCTAAGGGCACTTCTGCGAACAGTATCCAGGGCAAAGGCAGATTGCTGGCTAATTAAGAGCCACTTGACACACACACCAATTAAAAGCCATGCCTAACCCTTGATTCTGTAACACATTTATTTTATATTCCTTGCTGCCAAGTGCCAAGTGAATACCCTCTTCATTTATCGATCCTCTCCTACATTACTATCGATACAAAGCTACGAGCGGATGCCCCACACTGCTATCGAAATGATTAATAATGGATGATTTTATTGCATCTTGCTTCAGGTCAAAGACAAGCCCACCGTTGAGCAATTCATCTCGATGAATCGTGGCATCAACAACGGCGGCGATTTGCCCCGCGGCCTGCTGGAGTCCCTTTACGAGTCCATACGCACGGAGCCATTTAAAATACCCCAAGACGACGGCAACGATCTGATGCACACCTTCTTCAATCCCGACAAGGAGGGCTGGCTGTGGAAGCAGGGCGGCAGGTGAGTGATTTGAATGCAATTCTCATTGGATATCCGTATGCTTATGCTTCGATTCCATTTGGCAGATACAAATCGTGGAAGCGACGCTGGTTCATATTGAACGACAATTGCCTCTACTACTTTGAGTACACCACGGACAAGGAGCCGCGTGGCATTATACCGCTGGAGAATATATCGGTGCGCGAGATACACGATCGCAGCAAACCGCATTGCTTCGAGCTGTTTGCCACTGGCGGTGCCGATATAATCAAGGCCTGCAAGACTGACTCCGAGGGCAAGGTGGGTATTTTTTGCTCGTACTATGTAGAATGTGCCAAAGGAATACTAATTATATTCTCTTTCTGTTTCGCATTAGGTGGTGGAGGGCAAGCATACCGTGTACCGCATGTCCGCCGCTACGGAGGAGGACCAGCAGGAGTGGATCAAGCGGCTGACGCAGTCCATCAGCCACAATCCGTTCTACGATATCCTAGTACAAAGAAAGAAAAAGGCGCTCAGCAAGAGTTAGTATTAAGACAGAGCTGCTTGGCCTAACAATTTGTCTTGGATCTCAGTGAAAACCTGCAACGCGTGTGCGGCAGTGGCGGTGGCAACGGCAACGGCGATGGCGATGGCGTTGGCGACTCTCCCCATAATTATACATCATCTACATATACTTACCTTTTATATATATATATATGTACCATTTATTGTTCATTATTGTGTGTGTCAATGTGTGCATGCGTGTAAGAAATTGCAATGATTAACCAATGCGAGAGTATCTGTCGTTTGTTCAGCCCTGTGGTTTGCCCCAATTTGTCATCTGTTTGATTCACACTCTGACGCCAACCCGCAATCGCCACCGCCCATGCCGCCGCCCCGCCCTGTCACACGCCAACGCACTCCGAACCGCAAAACTTTGTCTCTATTGTTGTGATATAATTTATTTAAGCATTAAGCAATACAATACGGAAGAAACAGAAACGGAGAACAGAGAACAGAGAACATGAAATTGCATTGTTAAGAAATACACAAAACATCTAAAACATCTTCAAATTAGTGCAAATTACCTTTAGTTTCATTGTACGCCTAAGCCCACGAATATATGTCTTTCAGATTAGAGCACTTACCACTTAAGTTGTCCCCACCCAGAGCCCCACTCCTAACACACCCCCTCTATGATAGATGGTTGGATGGATGGATGGATGGTAATTAGAGCTATGAAACATATCCCAGGCCCAGCAGCCGCCAAAATCCTATTTGATTACTTGTATGTTTGTTTGTTTGTTTGATGCAAATGAAAAAAAAAAAACGGCTCAATAACTTTTGCTTGGCAATTATTATATGTATTGTATTGTGTAGACAAAGACAAAGGCCTTTCCTTTTCTGAGAATTGTATTTGTATTGTTAATGTAACGGTGACCCTAAAAACAACGAATGAAAACTGAAAATTGTAAAAATGTGCACTCTAAAATTAACAGATCCAATACAGAAATGCATTTATATACATACATACATAGGGGAACAATTGTTGTATAGGCAATGCTAATCGTAATTGTAATCAACCAAAGATCTGATTTAATGTCTGCTTCCAAATCGAATGATTGTCGTATTTTGTAGATTTAATTGAATGTGAATGAATTTTTCATTTGTTGTGAATGTTTTGTAAATGCATTTTGTATTGCCTTTTGTTAGTTTTGCATAGTTAAGAGACGAACCAACCGCAAAGTGTTCCTGCCAAGGAGAACGTTTGGCACCACGGATCCACAAAAGAACTGCGATGCCAGCATAACTCTTATGATAGCTAGAATCGTAGATGCCAGATCCTGCGTGGTTTGTTCTGTTCTGCTTCGCGACTGAAGGATACCACACTTCGTCGCTTCGTCACATCACACTGCAATGAATGTCATTTACCCGACTTGCCTTCGTTTCTCATTGTTAATCGATAGCTAGCAAGCATATTGTTTGAATTTCACACTTGGGACTTTCTTGTCATATGAATTATTTGGAAACAACAGTCCCAAACATTTCTGCAATATTATACATAATTAATTTAGCTATCTTAACCTTGTACTACCCATCTTTATTAGCACATATGTATTCACTATATCATAGATTAATGTAATCATATGTACATAAAGACATATTGGATAGATATATGCTTAGAAAACTCTTCGATGGGGCTTCAGTGCTCCACGAAAGTTTAATACCCGCAAGGGCAGTAAATCGAATTGTATAGGTTGGGCGTACGACTATATAAACGTGCGTTTTAGCATTATTAATAAACGGAAATCAACATTTGTACATAATACGATGTTACTTGTATAAGTATGCCAGTTAGTAATACCATAGCATAGTGTTTTTGTATTGCTTTAGCAGTAACATGGACGGAATATTATATAAAGCTACATATATACATCAAATATATATTGTATAGTTTATTAAAAAAATCAAAAAATACAATTTATATGTGTGCTTTATTTGGAGTGGGCGGGAGGCCAAGAATATTCATGAAGCATCTAGGTTCTACAAGCCATGGAACGCACAGATCGGGCTGCACAATGAATAGACTTGAAAAGTCATTGAAAAGGAATCTAAGAAATAAGGGATATTTTCCCGATCACGGGTAGGCGTCGCACGCCCTGATCGGACGAGAAACAGCGAAGATATAGCGATTTAAAGGTAATATCCTTATTGTCCTTAAAGCGAAACGATAGGGGAAATCCTGCCGATTATGATGATATTTATCACATCTAGATCGGCTGAAAAATGACAGAAAAGTAAGTATTTAAGACTGGGGGAAATATCCTTGATCCTTGGTCCTTTAGAAGGACTCCACAAAATCGAGGATTTTCTTCCGATCACGAGGACACATACCAAGTCCTGATCGGTCGAGAAATAACAGAGTTAATGCGATTTAAATAACGCTGAAATTATTTACACAAAAACAGCATATTTGAATTTCGCGCCCTTAGTTCGTATCGGCCAGCTTCTGACATGATGTAAAAAAGAAAAACCAGCTACCTCTGCTGACTCTGTTCGCCTGGTACTCGGTCTGAAAATTTTCTGGTTTTCGGCCATTTGAGCCTAACAATTTCAAAAAGTTAGTTCCAGAATTGGGCGTCGTTGTAGTGGGGGCGCCAGTGTGCAAAACGTCGTTTGCACAGTAGCGCCCCCAATTGTGAACGTCGATTTCTGGAACTACCATACTTTAGTTCCAGCATTGGCCGTTGGTGATCATGGGGGCGCCACTGTGCAAATGAAAATTTTTTTATTTGCACAGTGGCGCCCCCATTATTTAACGGCTGTTTCTGGAACTACCATACTTTAGTTCCAGCATTGGCCGTCGCTGATAATGGGGCGCTACTGTGCAAACGACGTTTTTGCACACTGGCGCCCCCACTACAACGACGCCCAATTCTGGAACTAACTTTTTGAAATTGTTAGGCTCAAATGGCCGAAAACCAGAAAATTTTCAGACCGAGTACCAGGCGAACAGAAGTCAGCAGAAGGTAGCTGGTTTTTCTTTTTTACATCATGTCAGAAGCTGGCCGATACGAAACTAAGGGCGCGAAATTCAAATATGCTGTTTTTGTGTAAATAATTTCAGCGTTATTTAAATCGCATTAACTCTGTTATTTCTCGACCGATCAGGACTTGGTATGTGTCCTCGTGATCGGAAGAAAATCCTCGATTTTGTGGAGTCCTTATAAAGGACCAAGGATCAAGGACATTTCCCACAGTCTTAAATACTTACTTTTCTGTCATTTTTCAGCCGATCTAGATGTGATAAGTATCATCATAATCGGCAGGATTTCCCCTATCGTTTCGCTTTAGGGACAATAAGGACATTGCCTTTAAATCGCTATACCTCCGCTGTTTCTCGTCCGATCAGGGCGTGCGACGCCTATCAGTGATCGGGAGAAAGTCCCCCATCGCTGACGTCAAGGACAATAAGAAGGACTTCACTGCTCCAAGGATACGCCTTTTACACGCTATTTTGTAATATATTGCCCGAATAGACCAGCCTGAAGCCCTGAAGTGATAATAATGCAGCCATTGTGTTTTTCAATATTTAATATTTATTTCAGTTTTGTTTTAATTTTCTTACAATAATTAGCAGTTGCTTTCGCTGTATTTGCTTACATCGATCATAATACATATTATCCATATCCTTGCTGTATGATAGTATTGGTGTCTGTGTGTAAGTGTGCGGGTGTTGGGGTCTGTTTGGGTCTGTCTGTGTTCAACATTGGTTAGGGTTCGCATTGACTTTAATGTTTGTTTGTTTGTTTGTTCGTTTGTTAATTATCGTATCTATAACTTTTACTTAACAGCTTAAATATGCATGTACGCGTTCAACATTTACTGGATCTGATCTGCCGTCATGTTTTTTTGGGTTGTTAATTATGTATGTTAGTTATTAACTATAGTTAGCAGCTAACATGCTGCTTGCTTTATGTTATTATGTAAATTTATATTAGGGGGTTTATAAAACAATTTGCTCATAAAAAACTAATTACAAATACGCATACATATTTAGTTCTTTCGGTTCGTTTTGTTTCGTTTAAATTACATACATGCTAAGCCTTCAAATGAGTTGTCGAAATCGATTATTTACAATATTCATAGGTAAAAGGAAATTGATAAATGCAGAAACAGAAAGTAAGGGAAAAATTCAGTGACAAAAATTGACAATTGCATAGTCAAGGTGCAGCTCGATAAAGAAGCCTCTAAATATCTCTCGTTTGCTATAATATTTACATACATACTCGTACTATTCGTATTATTAGTTAATATTCGATTTTGGTTCACATTAGGTAACAGTGCGGATTTCGTTTTGTTTTCTTTGTCATGCTTCATTTAGTGATTTAGTGAATTTTGCTGATTAGTGTAGAGATATTTGCTAAACATTTGGACTACTTTTGAATCAGCAATTAGTCGAGTCATACGTACATCAACCTTTACATTCATTATTTGCTAAGTTGATTTATCCTAGACATTCCTTAACTGGGATGCATCCTTTAGACATGCACATTATTCCATATTCCATATATACTCGAATGCTCGAATGTATTTTGTAGCATAGTGAAAATGCATCCTAATTCTCATAGTTTGTCGCTTGCTGCTGATGCTGCTGCTGCTGCTGCATTTTATAGTATTTTTCCATGTCATTAATTTATAATGGTTTTAATTGCTTAAAGCAAAGCTGCTGCTGCTGCTGCCATCGACTGCGACTGTGCCACCGTGGCAAATATTGGCCCAAAACAAAAGGCTTTCTCCTCTCTTGTTTGCCAAAATTATTTGCCCGAGTGAATGAGTCCTGGGGCAGATCTAACAATATTTATCCTTACTTTACTCGTAATTGCAAATATTTGCTCATGTTACATGTTACATTTTTGTTTATGTGTTTGGGGGGAATTTCAATTAATTATTCCCCCCACTGTGTAACGAATTTCGAATCGAAAGAATAGGTACATATATCCAATGGCCTAATTTCAATACAATTTTAAACTGGATTTGGTGTCAGTGTCAGAGTGTTCGGGAGTGTCAGGAGTGTTGCTGGTAGTACATACATATGGATAAGTTTAACTTGAATTTCTTGCTATAGTTCTTTAGATTTACGGGGGGTACTTAGAGTAATTGCTTGCAGAATTGCAGAATTCGTAGAGTTGTCGTTGCCGCTGCCGTTGCCGTTGCCGTCCCGCCAGAAGCTAATGGAATATATATTGGTTGGGCTGCTGCTGGCATGAGCTGCAGCACTTCTCCTTGTAGCGATGCAGCCGACACAGACCCATCGACCGGGCGTTGCGGCAATAGCGCGACGAGTCCCGACAATGCTGGGCCGCCGATGGGGACACTGCGAAAGAAAATCAAG